CCCTCTCCTCCCCCTCTCCCTCCCCCTCTCCTCCCCCTCTCCCTCCCCCTCTCCCCTCCCCTTCCCAGGCCCTAGCTAGGGGGAGGATTTAAGCGCCGGGGAGGTGGGCGGGGCGGGGGGTAGAATGGGGGAAGAGCTCTCTCTGCTGTCCCGTTTCCCTCCTCCCAGCTCTCTAGCCCCTAAACATTCCGGTTTTCATCCGCTCCATTGTGCCAGCCCCGTGCCCGCCCCTTCGGGCAAGAGGCTCCGCCTACCTTGGACTGACAATTGGCCAGCCCGGCCCAAGGTGGGCGGGGCCTTCAGACACCGCGTCGCGGTATATAGTAAAGGTTGGGGGGTGCCCCCCGAGCCTATCTCTCTCTATGAGGCGGGAGTGAGTCTCCTGGCCAACCTGTCCGTCTGTCAGTCCGACCGTACTTCTTTCTCCCATCGTCCCCCCGCCCCAACTTCTGCAGGGGTCCGAGGAGGAGGGGGAAAGAGCAGGTCTCCAACAGCAGTGGGGACACCCGCAAGAGCGGCTGTTTGCTAAGTACCAAACCCCCAGAGGGCGAGAGCGCGTGTATAACCAAAGAGAGACCGAGAGCTATCATCCGCCCACCAATAAGTGCCGGGCACCGGAGTCCAGCCCTCCCTCCCTCCTTTCCTCCCTCCCTCTCTCCCTCCCTCCCTCTCTTTCTCTCTCCCTCCTCCCCTCTTTCTGCCTCGGCTTCTGCACTGCCGAGCACCTCCACCTCTCGCTCGCAGTCTGAGCCGCATCGGCAGCGGCGCAGTCTGTCCGTCAGTCCGTCCGTCCAGGCTGCAGGGAGCCTAGCGGAGGAGGACGGAGCCAGGGCACCGGACCAGGGCTCGCCACCTCCCGGCGGCACCTTCGGCTTCTGAGGTCCGCGAGACAGCAGGAAAGGACTGCTTGGGGGGACGCCCCAGTCTCCCTGCGGAGGAAGCTTGCTGACGAGCCGCCACCATGGCCCGCGGGAAAGCCAAGGAAGAGGGGAGCTGGAAGAAATTCATCTGGAACTCGGAGAAAAAGGAGTTTTTGGGCAGGACCGGTGGCAGTTGGTGTAAGTACCCCCCCCCCCCAAGTCCCTTCCTCCACCCCTCGCAGACCTTGCGGCTCTCTGGACCCCGGCTGCCAGCTAGTACTTGCGAACCCCGCACTGCATCTTGCGGGGGGGAGGGGGGGAAGGACGGTGGAACTGGATGAGCGTGAGGCGCTGATCCAGCTGCGGCGAGGCACGGCCATTCTGCCCGTCCCCGACTTGTCATCGCTTGTAAAAAGGCAAGGGAACGAGAGAGAGAAGTGGGTGGGGGAGAAAGAGCACGCGAGCCAAGGGGAGTTGGTGGCCATCATCATAACCGGCAAACTATGGTAACGAGGAGCTTTGCATGCTCTCCTAATGTATGTAATCCAGCAGCCAAGACACTGAATGTTCCCTCCAGCTTCCCTTCCCCCACCCACACTCCCCCAAAAAGGCGTTTAGGACTGAGATTAGGTAGAGCATCTACAGATAATTAGAGCCAATGCAGTGCCTGTTTTAAGGGATGAGGGTGTATTGTAACATCTTTCTTCCCTCAGTCTTGAAATGTGCTTCTAGAACGAGGGAAGGAGGAATAGAAGAGATGGTATGGAGAGCTCGTACCGCAGTATTTCATCATAATGGTTTTACAGGTTTCCCCGCAATGACTTGCCCTAGTCTTTTACAGCCCGGGGGTTTCTCAATGTCGGGACACTGATTTGACCCTTGACTCTGAAATGGAATTATGGAGAAAATCTGTTTTTTCTAAAGATTAAATGGATGCGAACAGAATTAGCATCTTGGGGAGATTTTGGAGAAAAGCTTGTTTAGGGAATAACCATAAGGACAGTAGAGGATCATATTTTTATTATATATGTATGTCAGTATCTCCTTAAGTTTAATATAGCTAAATGCATGGCTAGCCTGTTGCTTAAGTCTAATAGGCAGTTTTCTATGAAAATAAGACACCTTGCTTCTTTCTCCCTCCTTTATGGGAAAGGGTGACATGTTTTTTTGAAAAAGGTCATTTTGAAGGGCATGTTGTAGTCAAATCTATGAGTCGTGACTGCGGCCCAGATAGGAGGGAGGGAGAGAGGGAGGGAACTCCCCCTTCCTGCATCACTGCCCCCTCCTTCTCCAACATCATCAGCATCACTGCCACCACCAAACCCTTGATAGGAGCTGATGCAGTGTCTTTAGATGGGAGGATCTGTGGGATGAAGCAGCAGAATGAGTCAGGAAAACAAGGTGCTTGGCTGACATTTTGAAATGGAAGAAAAGAGAAGAGACCATTTAAAAAATGAATCCAGCCAGTAGTAGGGTCTCCCTTGAGTTTAGTTTGAAAGCAAAGGGTTAATAATGCATCACACTCCAAGGTTAGTCAAGGTGAAAACTGGTTCCAAGGTGTCACAGGGAAACATGGGTAACCCTGTTTAAAGGAAAATGTAGGACTCTGGGGCATTGGCTTTTTTTTTCTTTTCTTCTTTTTGGGGTGAACAAAAAGGTAAATTACCTGAATGAGAATAATGCCCTGCTTCTTTACTCATTTTGTAAGGGAAAATCCCAAATAATTGGCAGAGAAAACTGAGGGTAAGGTTGAAAAGAAGCCAGAAAGCCTATGGTGAACAGCTCCTTGAAAGAGCCATTGCCTAGCAACTAGATGTAACTTGAGTGAGGCTGCTAAGGTACACAACAGATTAACCCAGCCCTTCTCCCCGTTGCTTGCTGGTGACTCCCTTCCCTGGTTTTCATGCCTTCCTAGGAAGACAGTACAGGCACATATACCTGCCCACTGAGGAATATCAAAACAGGCATGAAGTGCAGCAGATTCTCCAGGCACATCTGTGAATTTTCAAGATAGAACTTTCTGGTGGTCCTCACCCTCCCACTGATACATTATTTTTCCTCATTACATTTCTATGATTCTGCTTGGAATAATTTTGATTTAGAAGGTAATGTGGTTTGGAATGGTTAATTCTTTAAACCAACCTAGTGAGAAAACAACATCATCGATATATGTCTATATAAATTTATGCTTTTAATATATCATCTTAGAAGATACACCTTGATATAGATAGATATAAACAGACCTATCTATTCATGGCATTAGTTGGAGGTATATTCTTGTTTGATATCAATGCCATGTTTTAGATTGGGGGGGGCTGGAAAAAATATATGTTTATTTGCAATTTTTTCTATTCCCTTTGGAATAGGGGAAAGGAGAAGACATGACAGTTTAACCCTCTCCCCCTTGATAGCTGAAAAAAAGATAGGCATTTGCTTTAAACAGATGAAACTCTCTTTTCAAGCTGTTACTTAAATAAACATGGATGCCCTTGGGAAGAGGACAAGATGCCCTTGGCTCATTTTTACCTGTAGCTAGATTTTCACCAAGATGGATAGAGGAGGTTTTCATGTGCTTGAATCACAGAAACCAAAAGGAAAGGACCCCTTAAATCATCATATGCTTTTCTTATTTCTGTTAATATAGCAATAAACACAGGGTGGATAGTTTTTTTTTTTCTTTTTAAGCTGAGGCCAGATGCTAGTTTATCATCACCAATGGCCTAAGGCCTATGAAGGGCACCCTGCCCTCCTCCCCAAAAGCTTCTGTTGGTTATTTTTCCTGTTACAAACCACAGCTGGTCTGACTCCCCCCACCCCACCTGTATTGAATCAGCCCCCTCCTGAGTAATTCACTGAAGACATTCCTTTCAAGATCCTGGACTAGAATCTAGTACCCTTATGGCAGGCAGGAGAGTCTGCTGAAGAATATGTCCTTAAAAGACAAAAATTCCTTATTCCTCTGTGGGTATCCAGTCAACTTTATGTGAAAGAGCTGTTTGTTCTTGAGGTAAATTGCTTTACTTATAACGTGACTGGATGGGGTGTTCAGCCTAGAAGGATTATGTACCTTCTTGGCAGGTTATTACCATTAGGTATCTGTATCCCACTAAATGAATAATATTGCACCCTGAATATTAGGGAAAGGTAAGTGGGACTCACCTAAAAATTTTATGTTGAGGTGAGCTAAAAGGGGTAAGAAGGGAGAGGGGGAAAAAAATCAAAGGCAAAGAGAGACATCTTGTTAGGATTGGCTACACCGACTCTCCTTGTACCTCCTAGGAGCATTCCCTGGAAAAATTTTCCAAATCTCTCTTGACGTCATGTTACTACCATTTGCCTACTGCTGCTTGGATACAGAATACTGGACTTAACCCTCAGAGTGCTAGAGTGGAATTTATCTTTCTCTTCTTTGCTACCCCCTTTCGGATTCAAAGCAATTTAAAATTACTTTTTCTGTGTTGTTTCTTGCCCACAGAAAGCCGGCTTTTAAAAACAAATACAGAAGCAATCATTCACTCTTGCCTTCTAGCTATATTTTTGTTTCCTGAGATTCAGCTGAGATTTTTGTCCTCGGAAGAACTAATGGAACACTCACAACTAACGAAAGTCACGTAGAACCTCTGCCGACACCCTATTGCTGATTCCTTTCTTAATCTTGTGTCTCCCTTGTTTTCTCACTTATTACCACTTCCCTGTTAGCATGGAGGCTTTTGGCATGGACTTTCTTTGCCTTACTGCAGACTGCCTGGCGATGCCTAGTACAGCATGTTACTATGCAGTTAATCAGTGGAGATAATCCTTGTAAACCAGTAACTGATAGCCTCATTCCAGTCAATGTACTTCAATTTTGCCTCTGCAGCTATTTTGACCTCCATACTATTTAACTTATGAGGAAAAAGGAAGGTGAACAATGCTGAAGCCATTTCTTGCTCTTTTAAGAACAAGATTATTATTATTAACTGGACAGTTAAATAAAATGTAATGGCTGTTTTCACCATGGATGTCCCTCTCCCCTTTATTGTGGCCCTTTGAGCACAAGGACATTATACCTATTGGTAACACAGATCAAGGGCGGGTAATATTTGAAGAAGCTCAAATTGGGCTTTCTTTGATCTTTCTATGTTCTTGCTTTATAACTCCCTGGTAGCCTATGAACTTGTTTTATGTATAGGTATAGGTATATGCATGTGCATATATACATATTCATATATGCATATATAACACAAATATATGATTATATATTTATATATAAATATACACATATATTTGTACTATATATATATGTACACACATATATATTTCTGCATAAGAGGCTTCCTTTGTATTCCTACATATTTTATCTATTTAAAAACATTATTCTGTGTCTTTGGATCCATGATATTAAAAAAAAAGGGCAAAGAACCCCTGTCCTAGAAAGTGAAGTAGTGTTTAATTTTCGGGAAGCTGGAATTCTCAAATGTAGCATTTTAGCATGAAGGAATATTAGATGCATATTTAATAAACAAGGAGAGTTAAAACATAGGATTGCAGGTATAGAAGAGGAAGAGATCTTGGAGGTTATGTTGTCCAACCCCTCTCATGAGAAAACTGAAGCGTGTTCTGGGAGATTTGTCATCACACTTGAAGGACATTGCTCTGACATTGGGTTTTTATTATAGCCACTTTTAAAGAGAGACGTTTCTTATTTAAGGCATTAAATGGTTGCATTGCCAAAGAACACAGATGAGTTGGGTCCTGTCTGAGTGTCTCCTACAAATCCACATGTAGACATGGTATTATGATTGACTGCCTGGCTTCCCCAGTCAGAATGGTCCCACCCCCTTAACATGTTGCCCTCCACTCCCTCATTAGAATGAGTTGAGAAGATTTGTTCTTTTCTTTGCTGTCTTGGCACAGGCGCCTCAGTGGGAAAGGGGTAGAAGGGAGATGAGGAAGTCCATTCATCAGCTGGTGATCAGACTTGCATTCTGAGACATGTGACTGCATCAAAGCGTTTGTGTTTCTGTCTGTTCTTTTGCAGTTAAGATCCTCCTCTTCTACCTAATATTCTATGGGTGCCTAGCTGGCATATTCATTGGGACCATCCAAGTGATGCTGCTCACCATCAGTGAATTCCAACCTAAATATCAGGATCGAGTAGCACCACCAGGTAAAACAAACACAACCAAGCTTGGTCTTCTAGTAGTGGAGTTAACTATTTTTTTTAAAGTTCTGTAATTTTTAATGACCTCTGGAAAGGGGAAGAGAAAAGCTTCATCACCTTTGCACTGCAGTGCCTAACTCCCCAAGATAGAGACATCTTATTACTATAGTACACAGGTGGAGGAAACCACCTCTGGCTACTTTCATCATAATTTAATAAACAATTTTAATATTTCACTTTCAAACCTGGAAATAAATGTTGAAGGCTAAAAGAGCAGGTATATTACTTGAAGATTAGCTACCACAATGGCTCGGAGCTAGGGTTTCTGGCTTCAGATATCCTTTTTGTTTCTGATTTGCTTTTTGACCTTGAACCTTTGACTTTAACCTCTCTCTCCAGGCTTTGGTCTATCCAGGCTATTTATTTATTGAATGTCGATATTCTCTATATCTTAGTGTGCTATGATTTAATTAACTATACTCCTTTGACACTTGAACATCCTGGGTAGAAGGAGTGAGTGTCCTACAAAATGCCAAGCAGTTTCTGGCCTCTGTCCACTCTTACCTGCTATTTCCCCTCCCCCATGCCCCCAACTCCCCACCATTTTGATAATGCCATACGCACAGCATATATCCAGAGTAGTTGTTAAATGCCTTTGGCTATAAGCTCAGCTATATATATATAGACCTCACTGCCTTTACTGTTGGAACAGAGGTGATCAATTAGCGTTAGAGCAGCAGATTTTAATTTTACCCAGCTCTTGCTAAAAATCTTCATGGGAAGGACTTTGGAGAAAGGGGAGGAGGAGTAGTCTTGTAACTGCTGCTTTCCCACATTACAAATGACCTTGAAGCTGCCTTACAGTGACACAGTAATGAGTTGGCCCCTCTCTTCTTTTTCTGGAACATGGTTCAGGCACTTTTAATAACAGTGGTATTTAGGTGACAGTCTTGAGGGTATCTGCATGGCACTGAGTAGCTTAGATCAAATGCCATACTGCATGCCGCAGTCCTGTCACATTGGCTGGTTCTTGGATGTGAAAACAACTTGGTATAGTGGAAAGAAGTCTGGACTGTTAATCAGGAGACCTGGGTTCAAGTGCCTGCTCCGATTGTGTGATCTCAGTCCTAGTATTTAATAGCTCTGTGCCCCAGTTTCCTCATCTGTCAAAAGATCTTTAAGGTCCTATCCAGGTCAAAAAAGCTCACAGAAGAAAATCATCAAAATCAAAGTCCTCTTCCTTGTGAAAGATGGAGAGACAAAATCTTACAATCCCTTTGAGAAATAATTTAATATTTTTGCAGGTGGTAAACACTATTGGACTTCTCAGAGCAGACTTCCCAGGTGATTTAATTCCAGTGATTTGTAAGATTAATAAAATAAAAAATAAAAAAACCAAAGCCATTTGCCAGTGGGGCTAACTTTGAATCAAGAGATTGAGATAGGAAAAAAAATACTATGGATGAGACATGCTGACTTATGCAATTGTGACAGCCTTCTGATACATCCAAAGACAAGTATATATCAAATATAAGACAAACATTTTGATATTCTGCAGTGTATCATAAAACAGATTTATACAACATGAACTCCATGACAAAAAAAATACACCGTATATTTTGTGACATTTACTGTTAGTAATTTCAGGTTGTGATAATGATGATGATGATGATTTGTGGTGTTAATAACATTTCATTTATGTGACCCTTTTATTTCCTTCTCCACCATCATTCAGTAAACCATTATTCAGTAATGAAACCATTTAGCAATTTTTGTACATGAAGCTAAACTTGGTCAAGAATTTTAGCTTAATAGTGCCACTATTTAATTCTTTGCTGCAGAATGAGCCAAAATTCACCACAAAACCAAACTTTTTTTTCTTTACTACCTTGATTTTTAAAAAATGACTCTTGGATACATAAGTTCTTTTGAATTTCTTCCAAAGTATATAAATTTACTTTGATATTCCTTTTGGCAGAAATTTGGCAGAAAAAAGTCACAATTTTGGTGACTTTAACAAGGTTCATTGTGTCTGTGGACCAATGACCTTGGCCATAACTTACACAACAAGCTTTCTGTCTCTTCCAAACTAGCTCCTCCGGCCCCTTTCCAAAAGACAAGGTCTTAGCACCTAAATTTAGTGTCCCTGAAGCAGAGTGACTGACCTGACAAAGCCTCACTTCTCTAAAGGAAAGATAATGGCTCATCATGGAAATATGCATTCCTGTCTTTTGGGCTGAGTCAGAGGAAAAGGGCTTCCCAGAAACCCTGCCCTTTCTCTATTCTGTCCACCAGCTACTTAATTTCTTTTAGCTCCTCCTTTCCTTCCCCTTCACCCTTGGCCCACCTACCTTTTTAAGGGATACCTATATATATATATAATATAATATAATATATATAATATAATATAATATATATAATATAATATAATATAATGTCACACTTCTAAAAACCACAATGAAAATTTAAAAATGATGATGGATTTCTGTTAAGGGAGCTCAAACTGGACAAAAGTTCTTACTATCAAGAAATGGTACTGCTGGATCAACCAGAAGAGGTCATCATTTAGTGATGTGACACCTTCCAACACTAGACACTGCCTTCCTGCAGCTTTCAGGTCAAGCCAAAAAAAATATTAGAGGTAAAAGAGATCTTAGAAATGAATGAAGCCCCTACTTTTACAGGTGAGAAAATTGAGGCTCAAAGCAGAGTGAAGTAATTTCAATTATTTCAGGGTCAATTACCCAGTGTCACACGTAGCAGAGGTGGGGCTTGAATCCAGATTTTCTGACTCCAAGTCCATTGAAATTCCACTATACCATTCAGGCTCCCTCAAAGAGCTTTGGCTTCCCAATGGCATTAGCTGTTCCATAAATTTGTGGTATAAATTGGAATGAGAGAGAGAAAGCTAATCATTCTTATTTGCAGTTATAGTGATATTAGAGGAGAATCACTATGATGTGTTGGAAAGAACCCTGGATGCTAAAAGCTACAAAGAATTGTCTAGGTTTTAGTTCTAAGGCTAACACTTGCTAGCTGTATGTCTTAGCCCTGAGCCTCGGATAAAACAACTTCCACATCTTACCTCACAAGGTTGTTATGATGATCAATTGCAATGACGTATGAGAAAAAGCAGTTTTAAAATTATAAAGTGTTATGCAAATTTTAGGTGTTCTGAAGTAAAAATGATTGGGGGGATTAATAACAGTATTAGCCTTAGCCTTATTTGATATATTACTGCATTTTATACCTTGGAACATTTTATGATTTGATTTATTTAAGTGAAATCCTAATTAAATAACAGCAGTTGTTTGGTGCAGTTCTGGCTTATGTGGGTCAATGAATCTATAGCTGCTTGCCCAGCTGAAATGCCACTGCTACACACCTCAGGAGATGGATTGGATGATAAAATAAAACTGGAAAGGGGGACAAAAATGACTTGAAGTAATCCTAAGTCTTTATGAGGAAAATTGCAGTGCAGGACTATGAAATAATAAATTCAATGAACTAAACACTTATCAAGTGCCTACTATTTGCAAGATTCTGTATCAGGTATTGGAAATACAAAATTGAAAAAAAAGTAATGTTTGTGCTATATTTGGCAGGGGATGTGGGAGGGAGGGGATGTGGGAAGTAGGGGATATGGTATGCCCCAATAAATGTAATAAATCAAGCTGTAGTGTGATGGGGCAAAAAAGAGGGTTCATACAAAATACTCAAAATCTGGAGAGGGAAGCATCACTTTCAGTAATGGGTAGGTAGGAAAGAGCATCAAGGGAAGGATCTTGAAGGAGGTAGTAACATAGTTAAAGAAAGAGAAGGATTTTAAAATGTGGAATGCTGCATATGTAATCTTTCCTTCCTAGTTTCATTACTGTGGAGCCTTCAGCAGAGCTGACTTCCTTAGGTTTTAATGAGAGATAAAGGACCAGACTGAAATGCTGAGGGTACTCCTAGAAACTTAGTAGGACATCCCCAAAGCAAGCTGCATCCAGCCTTACCTACTGACACAGGTTAGGCCATTCTACCCTTTTCTTTCTCTCCTCCAGCAGCATTTCATCTTTGGGTATTGTCTATATTCCTGTAAGTACTCTGTTCTTTATAAAAGATTACTGGAGATGTTGTCATTCAGCCAGATTTTTTGGGAAAAAAATGAATCTGATTTTCCTGACACTTTTCCTTTACATTTTAAAAATTCTCTCTCACAGATTTCCTGAGCATTTGTAACTTGAATATTGCTTATCAGGTTACTGGGTGCTTTTGATTTCACTTTTGAAACCACTAATGTAATTATAAAGGAAGTTACCTTGCATTGACTCATCTAACTAGAAAATTGAATTTGAAAGAGGCATTGATATTAGATGGGCTAGAGTTATTAGAGTGGGGAGTAAAAGCAGTCTCTTTGTCTTTAAATGGTTCTCTGCTCACTCATCTGCCAGTGAAATAGTATAATGGAAAAGCCTGGCTTCCTCACAGATACTTATTGGCTCACTATGCTCATGTAACCACAGTGGACTGAAATCACAGGTCACTATATATCATGGTAGATACAGGGGAGATTCCAAGCTTATATGCTTCCTGGTAAGCAGGTAATAAGCAAGTACACATTCTCCTTTTCCTTCCTTGCACGTGTGCGTGTGTGTGTGTGTGTGTGTGTTGAATACAGAGTGCCTAATACAGCACACTTTAAAAGGGTCAAAATTCTGCCATACTCTATGCTTGTAACCAGAGTTAGGGAGGGAGGGGAACCTCAGGATGCCTGGAGATTAGTAGACTGTAATGGTACCAGCATTCTAAATTTATTTAGATTCTTCCCTTTTGATTGTGAAATATTTCTTCTTTTAAAATGTATTAATTTGACAAAGTTTTTACAATTCAAACCTCTCTACACAGGGCTTAGTGAAAAGTCATGCCATATTGTGGTTTAAATCTCAATATACTGCTAAACTTCAGCCCACAAAATACCCAGGACAGCAATTTAAGAGTCCTTCCCATTAACATTTTGG